TTACTAACAGAATCTTCCCTCTTCCCAATGAAGTACTCTCCTCTTATGAATCATTGAAATCCGAGCTAATTCAAGCATCACTGGTTGCAGTTGATAAAGACACATCACTAGTGGTCGAGACCGACGCCTCCGACATAGCAATCTCTGCGACACTCAATCAAAGTGGTCGCCGATGTGAGAGACGATCGCCACAGCCATTGAACAGGGAGAAGACAAAGGCCCGATACCTAAGCTTTATTCAACATACACTAGATGACGGGCTGAAAAGGAATGAAGGGAAATTTAGAGAGGCGAATACAAAGTAATGTGAAACGACAAACAAAAGTGTAACATAACAGTCGCCCAGTGACTTTCTTTCACGCATTCTGCCACCCTCAGAGCGAAATCATTCTGCTGCAGAAAACGAAGCCTACGCAATAATTGAAGCCATTCGTATGTGGCGGCACCACCTACTAGGTGCCCACTTCAAATTCGTTGCTGATCAATGCTCCGTCGCCTTCATGTACGATATGAAAGTCGGCAGCAAAATCAAGAACGACAAAATACAAACGCTGGGGTATCGAACTTTCCCAATTCTCATATGATGTGATAAACCGTCCAGGTTCGGAGAATCCTGCAGCCGATGCTTTATCACGAGCATTCTGCGCAAGCACTCACTCAGTCTGAACTGAAGCGACTTCACGACGGTCTGTCTCACCCCGGTACCACGCGTCTGTACCATTTTGTCCGCACAAAAAATTGACCCTTTTCTCTCGATAATGTCAAGGTGTTAACTCAACAATCTTCTGTTTGCACGCCTTAAACCCAAGTTTCACATACCACGCAATAGTCCCCTTGTTAAGGCTACACAACCTTTTGAACGCCTCAGTGATAATTTCAAAGGCCGAATTCCCTCTTCCACTCGAAATCACTACATTTTGACAATTATTGATGAGTATTCCCGTTTTCCGTTTACCTTCCCCTGTCCCGACATGACTGCTCGCACTATCATTTCTCGTTTAACTGAGTTATTTTCCATATTTGGTCTGCCGCACTATTTACACTGATCAAAGGGGCCTCTTTCATGTCTCAGGAACTGAAGATGTTCCCCCACGACCGAGGAGTAGCTCGTTGTCCTGCTAGTGCAGTGCGTCGACAGTTGAGTCATCAAAGAAAGTTTCGGCTATGTTGGAAGCGGTTGCGTCCAGCAGCGCCTGCCTTCTCTCAGGTCGTTCCAAGAGCGCAACGTTGAATTTGCCCGGGAGACGAGTCTTCCGGCCAGTAGTCAGGTGGATCTTGAAGCGGGCACGTACAAGGGTATGGTCTGTACCGTGTACTGGATGCCTAAAGTTTTAGGCACCCAGTTCCTGTTTCCAGTTTCTTCGTCGCGATAGCAACGGCAGTCTTCCACCGAAGAGGCCCAGCGAGCACGTACCAAAATATGATCAATCTGGTGTGCTGTTCGGCCATCATTTGAGTACCAAGTAAGCAGGTGTTTTCTGTGGTGTTGAAAAAAAGAGTATTGGCCACGACCGACCGATTAAAGTCAGCAAATGTGACTAGGCATTCGCCATTTTCACCACGTTGGCCAAGGTCGAACTTTCCCAGAACTAACGAGTATGTTTGTCTGATGGACTAGTGCGTGCATTCCAGTCTCCTGTGATAACGAGAATGTCACGTCTCGGACTGCGGTCCACTGCGTCTTGAACTTGATTGTAGAAGTCGTCTTTCATGGCTCTTCCGCAGGTAAGGTTGAAGCACATACAGCGATGACAGTCAGATTAAACGGCTTTCCCCTGAAGCGCTTTATGGCAATCCTCGGAGAGGTGGGTTCCCAGGAGATCATGGAATTATTGGCCCGGCCGCTCACGGCGATTGCTACCCCGTGCAAACTAGAGTTGTCAGTTGAGCCGCTGTGGTATAACCGGTAGGTTGCGTTGATTAGTTTTGTGCCACAGTTAGGTAGTCCGACTTCGGACAGACAACAGATGTCTACCTTGTAGTCGTGCAGTGATTACATCGTGATGCACTGGCTTCCTGTGTCTAGCAATATTCTAACATTCCAGCAGTCTATATGGATGCTGGATCTGGTGCATAGATGGTTAGGTTCTCAGCTTGCTCATTTGCCACCCCAGCCACTGGGAGAGCGCAGGCCGTGTCGCTTCCCGGAAACGCCGTAGCATGAACGTGATGTACCATTGTAAGACAATCCATGAAGAAACTTGGGAATGAAGTACTAAGCGACCTCCCCAGCGTCGCTCGGGTTTTGTTCAAGGGTGCACTTCTAACCCTTGCACAACCAAGTGCGACCTTCAGGATAACAGGGGAGAATTTATGGTATCCCGTAACCGTTAGAACGGTTCATACGCCTTTCGGATGGCTCTGTGCCAGTCCAGGATTCCCAATGTGTCCGTGAGGTTTGAGGGTCGGTAGCATTCCTCAGAGTCTGTCCTACTCGTAAGAATAGGCCTTCTTTGGGAGCGGACCACATTCGCACACGTGATGCTGTCAGCAGACACTTATGGCGTTTAAACGGAATATCGGTTGCCAGCCGAAAACCCACCACGTCCTCTTGCATCGCCGCTGATCGTCCGCGACCGATTATTCAGTGAGGTAGCCCCACCTATTCACGGTTAACCACCAAGGTGGCTGTTCTATCCGCGACCTGGAGACGCTCTCGGTCGCACTCAGCTATGCTATCCGTATACAGCTCATTGCCTACGGACCGACTATAGGGTCTGCTGTTCGTCACACACTGGTGTGTAATATAAAAAAGACTGTCGGTGTTCGAACACCGCTATCTACGCAACATTGCACGAATCAGGTGGGGCAGCCGGACGAGCAATGCAGTGGTCGACTCTACTTTCAACTTCCCTGTCTTTCACCTATTCTTTATCCGATTGGTCACCAATTGCCGGCAACCAAAACCAGCTGGATGTGGCTGAGAGCTTTAAGTACCTGGGAAAAGGAATTATGATCCTGAGGATGTGCTTGATGTTTCCTGTCTATCAGCTTTGTCCACAGTTTTACTTTGTTTTCTAATGGCCACCATTCTTCGTTTCTCCACAGATTTGCTTCTTTCAATAAATATATCATCATTGGCAGGCGAACTACTAACTGATTACAATTCCTCGAACGGGTTTTCTTCGCGATCAATAACGGTTGTTGCATTGTAAACATCCGTCTTCCCTTTCCCCAGTATAATCGACTCCACATTTGGATAAATTTTCATTCCACCATATGGAACAATGTTGAGTGTACATGAAGAAATCAGCAAACTATTTTACTCGGTCAATGAACGGGTCGGTGCGACGCTAGAGGTGACTCCAAATCATCATAAAAGAACTAAGTCAAAGCACCTACTTTTGATCGGTAAAAGATGATGTTTTATTTCAGTGTCATTTTCATCTAGTTTCCATAACAAAACCGGTGTGCATCAAATTTCATGTGATTAAAGTCCCCTTTAAGGGTGAATTGCAAAATATGTTCGTTTGCACTTCAAAAGATCTGCGGAAATTCGATTGTCGTGATTCGAAATTGCAGCCCAGCTACGAATTACAGTTGTTAACCGAATATAAGGTTAGTATCCATTCCTCCTTCACTCAACCTGGAACATTTTACCACTAGATTGTATCAATGTTCTCCTAGCTTTTCCGAAATGAGCATTCATTGATGAATTTGAAAGTTTCTCCCCTCTTCATTTTATATACTGAATCTAGCCGTTAATACATCATTTTTGTGTGCAATCCCAAAAATAAAGCAGAAAAAATCTAAATAGCTGTTGACCCGTACTGAACCATCAAGTAAACAAAAAAATGCTGTTTCGAAAGTTCACTTCTTGGTTCTTCTCGTGACGAAGTTAAATAAACACAGAGAGAGAGGGCGACCCTGTCGAACTCCACTTTATGTAGTGAACCCGGGTGAAAAACTGCCGTACGCTCGGACTCAACTTCGGCTATTAGTATGAAGGAATCATAGTACTGAAACAAACTTCCCGGGTACACCCTTCAGGGAAAGGCAGCACCAAAGTTTACAGCGGTCGAATGAGTCGAAAGCCGCTTTCAGATCGAGGAAGACATAAGTGATGGGTCTACGAAAGTGGTGTCTGTATTTTAAAATGTGGTCGATACAACCCCGACCAGGTCTAAAACCAACTTTGTTCTCACTCATTCTAAAACCAACGCTGGACGTCCATCCTTGAGAACCGATTAGGACAGCCCGTCCGGGGTAGTAGCCTTGTACCTTTTAAAATAACTTATTTACCTCGCAACCTTCATTTCATATGGAGGACTGATATCTACTAGCAGTATTTTTCCAGCACTGAGAGGTCTATTGCTGACGATGGTCAGCTATGCTCTACCTTGAAACGTCTTTCTCATCGTTCAAGACGGTGTTGCTGATGATTAATCCTTAATGGCCTCACTTACGTCTAATTTGCTAGTGCCCTTATTCCTTATTAGGCGAAAAAGATTGCGACAATTACCGATAGCCGCGGCCTTATCTATCTTTACCTTCCCTATCCATCACTTCTCGCGGTCACTCTTCAGGCTCTTGATCAGCTGGCGTTTGAGGGATTTGCGTGCTCTGATGTATTTGACATCAAGAGGAATGACTTTTCGAGCGTCCAACAGGGCAGCGGAGTTCGATGAGATCCATCGTTTTTGCTTTGATCGTGCACCGGAATCCGCTGTTTTGATTGACATTTGGATCGCTTCTTCGATAAACTTCTAGTATTCATTGCGTCATTCGGTAGTTGAAGGAGCTGAAAGGCGATGAGAGACTTCCAGAAATGAAGAAATGCACAGAGCTATTAGGCAGAGTAGGTGTCTCACGCCTTCCAGGTTTGGGTCCGAACGTCTTCACAACCTGTTGGTTGGAGACATTGAAGGATATGGCGGCGAACCCACAGCACTGACTTTCTTGTTGTCATTTGTTATCGGGCCAGAATACTTGAAACGGTATGTATGCAGAATTTGATTGTGCACTCAGTATTGACCATCGATTTCACCTTCTCCCTCTTTAAAAATAGGTCCACTCTAAATATTACCACTAACCTTGTGTGCATCGCGAGTTTGGCATTGATCAGTGATATTCGCCTCCCTGTATTTCGCTGTATGATGTTAATGATGATGACCCATTATCATTATTGTTAATGATCTTATCTTTTTTTTACTTCTATTGGATATATAACAATACATTTTTCAGGAAAAGGGGAACTATTTTTGTCCAACCCTTATTTCTCCTACCTGAAAATATCTAAACGGTGGTAAACAAACTTCATCACCCAGATTTTTGAAATTACTATCTGAAAATGGGGACCCGTTTTGAGTAAATCGAACGATCTTTTGAATAAAAACCCTTTCTTCAAGCTCTCGTGTGTTGTGCAACGTGCATTTTTGCTACGTTGTTCGATATTTTAAACCGATACGCACAGGTATTTACGTACCAGAATCGACATGCTAGCTGCATTATTTCAGTTCCTTGGTGTCAGGATAGGAGTTTACAGGTGTATCTCTAATGATTCACTTAACTGTTTACTTTTTCTCTCGCTGAGTTAAACCAACACTCAATTGCCGTTTGAACTCAAAACTTATATGATCCTATGGATCCCAGTTTTGTTAATTCCCAATTTGTCTGCCGACTGGTCGCACCCTCAAGGTGATACAACCCAGTCAGGGAATGTTGATCGATTCTCACGCGATCAAGCGAACCTGGCAAAAAATACTGTATTTTTGTGGCGAATCACATGCAGCCGGTGGTCAGTCTCACGCATTTATTTGGACTGTGAACAGTGAAATCAATACTCGTGCCGGTGGTGCAAACAGACCCGATATCTTATGTTGAATTCACCAAGATAAAATGGCTCCTCTTAGAAACAACCTGTGTTTTTCCCCACAAATCGATCTGTTCCGAATGATATTATGCATCGGAATGAAACGGACTCAGTGAAGCCTTTCGATGTGTCCTGTTATTCTAAAACAGAGTATCATCTGACTAAAATAATAGGTGTTGGGGTAAGGACTATGTATCTATTCCTGTCTTTCATCGTGTATTCTTTTGTGGAGTACATTCTTTCTACGTAGCCCCACGTTTTTGCTTTCTAATCCATGTTTCTAACTTGATTTAGATTCATTTTTCCATGTTTGTTACCGCCATTGTAAGAGCAACCGAACCATTGCAATCAACTTTTAGACCTGGAGTTTCACTTCAACGAAGTTAGATGCCAAAGCTCAATTTGTTCGTGGTTTCTGTCGTATTGTGGCGTCGTTGCAACCGCACGTGTTCAAAGAAATCCAGTTGCTCAATCTGCCAGCAAGTGTTGATCTTGCCGCTATCGATTTGAACCAATCACTGGAAGTGTTACTCAGTACGTCGTTTTTTGTATTCGCTCTCTTGTTTCTATTTATTATTTTTGATGATTTTATTCGATCGGTACAGAAGTGAGCGAGAAGTTTATCACAAGACCTTGAACGCTGACTATGTACACCTAACAGAGCCTTCATGATATTTCATTTTCTGGACTTTGCGATCACGCGAACGCGAATATGCGTGGTTTGGAGTTTGACACCTTTTCATTCCGTTCGATCAATGCACTGTGTGTGTGGTGTTTAAGACATCCAGGCCATGCTAAATCGAGAAGAACAAACAGCAGTTGAACGATTTCTGCACCCAAATCTTTACCTATTTCGAATAAACACTAACAGCACCATGGAATTTCCTCTAAAAACACGATTGAAATGAATAGTGATGGCTTTAACCGAATCGTCTAGCACTATACGGTCTAAGGGTGCTGACAAAATGATGGCTCCTAGATCTATAAGCTGTTCACAGACAAGCCGATGAATATCTGGGCCGTCCGCCGGTCGATCCGGT